CATGTCAATAACCTATGTGGTTCACATGGATTATTACAAGTGTATGCAACATCATGGACTTTCAAAACCTCCAAAAAATACACCATAGATTGCCATCTATGATATAAAAGTACAATATATTTTGTAGAAAGCTTTTAGCCCTTTGCATCTTATTGTAATGGCAAATAAACTTATTTAAAGTAGTTCTCTTAACATGATGATAATAATTGTGAGAAATTAGAAATAATATGAACTTATTGAAGAATACAAAGTAATGCACTGCCATTGCAAAGCTCTTCTATAATAAATATATGATGCAAGTTATAACAAATCACATAAATGAATGTCTTTAACATTTGTCAAAATTTTTTATGCACAAATTGATATTAATGAAGGATACAAATATAGAAATATTCATTGCATAATCTCATAAAGTTAGTCATAGGAATTTTTATGGAGTCTCCTCAATTTGGCTTTCAACCTTATCAATAAACTTGATTATGTCTATTCTATTCTAATGATGATAAACATCACCACAAATGATTGCCAATATAGCGACAAAGAAAAATAAGCCCTGAGTACTTCTCTCATCTCTAAATGGTCAATTCTATGAAAAGGGTATAAAAATAAGTTTCCATAGAATCTCAAAGGAAGTTTAAAATAGGTGATAAAGCACTTGGTACTCCTTTGTTGAATCTATAAATGTATTCTTATTGATTTTTAATTTTTTTTTGTAAATAGAAATATTATAAATTATGTGAGAAATATTAATTAAAAATATATATATTTATGACCTAAGAATGATCTTAGTCTAAAAAAATATTATTAAATAAGCAAGGAATATTAGTTATGATGTCTTTGCTACCTAATTTCTTTCTTAAAAACTACTAACATCAACTATGTAATTTTAAATTTTAAAAACACACCAACATAATAGTGACTACTCACATCAACATTTATTTACTTTTGTAAAAGTCATACTTCTATAAGATTATTAGTATGTGAATTTTTTCAATCACAAAGTTAAGAAGATTTATGCAAATAAACTTTTAAATTGTTTGGTATCTTTATTTTATTTTTGTAATTAATGGTTTATTTTTAAATTTTATAAAGAATTTAATACAAAAAATCTACATCATCTAGTGAAATTTTGAATAATTTATTTTTACATATAATATATTTTAATTTATTTTAATTTATTAATATATTGCAAATGTACCGAACTGAACTACTATCTCACTATAAAGCAAGCGCCTTGAGGCGTGAAAACTATACCAAGCTGCTACTATTTTGAAATTTTGGCTTCCGTGTACTGAAGCCAACACGTCTTTGAGAGAATCATCAACTTCTTAGCAAGTTGTTGCCGCCGATGTTGAAGGACCACGATAACCGCCGCCGATGTTGAAGGACCACGATAACCGCCGCCGTGACTTTGTGGTGCCAACTCGCACTCTGCCGCAGCGTTTCGTTCACTATCGAATTTTCGTCAAATTGATTGTTAAATATCCACAGCGTGCTGAGCTCACCTCACATGTGAAAGTTCCATAAACATGTAACTGAAACATGGTTTCCATTCCAGACCTGGATAAATCTTAAGATGAATGGCAACGAATTCGAACAAATGGTCCTGAAGTTAGCTGTGAGTCAAAAGTTTCAGTAAAAACCATGCCATGTCCTTGTGGCTTTCCCAAAAGCACAGTCCATCCATGAGTTAGAAAAAGATGCCAGAACTCAACTCTGAAGCTTTCCTCACATCGTTCTGCCACGCATTCGTCCACAACGACAAAGAGAGCAATGTCTCACACACACCGTGCGGCAATGCCTTCATTCCTTCGACGAAGGGTACGTTCTGACTCCTCGGCGAATCCAATTCTCCGCGACGGCTGATCCCCTAGCGCCATTCTCCCGATAGCGATTGCAACGGTCTTCCTATCCTAATTCTTCTTCTTTTAGCAACATTATACGGGGCAGTGCCAAAAGAAGCGATTCCTCTCACACTCCAGACCACAAAGCAAAATGCACAGATGACCAGAAAGACAAAGCGGGGGAGGGAGGGAGGATTGTCGAGCATCAGACGCTGCATGTGGCTGCGCGCAACAAAACGTCGACCAAGTCTCTTGTAATGAAGAAGAGAGCTCCGACCACCCTCGGGCATCGTGATCGGCTCCACCATTCGTGTCCTCCTATTCAGGGAATCGAGACAATGCTCCTCCTTACTCCAAATGAGCAACAGAGATTCGGAGCTATCTTTCTAAACGGTCTCTCAGCACATTCCTTCCTCACCAAAATGGGACGAGGTCATGGCCAGTGCCGCCATCGTAAAAACAAAGTATAAAAACAAAATAAAAATAAACGCAGAAGAAGAAGGAGAAGGCTCTAGAAGGGTCTTGGCATTGTGATCTCCGCTGAGGGAGGGAAGCTCAGTTTCGAAAGTTCGGTGTGCCACGCAGGATTTAGGAAAGGGGAGCTTCTCGTCCGACGTGGCAAAACTCATTCAGCCCCCCTGTTATTGTGCGGATGATGACGTGGAAGTCCCCCCAATGCTGACGCACATGGTGTGCTTTAAAGGGTTTCCTTGTTACTTTTACTTTTTTCTTTTCAATACTTCCTCTGCATCATTTTGGCTTCATAGTCTTTGATAAATGCATTTTATTCATTGTTCCATTCACATACAATTTCGTTTTAATAATATTTTTTGGTATGTAAGCCTCAAATTCATTATTTAGATTGATAGTGTCATTTTTTTTTAGATTTAATAATTCTCTGAAAATATAAAGTGTTTTTTCCATTATTTTTAAGTATTTAGAATTCAATTTTCAAGCATATCAGGAGTTTCAATTTACATATACTTGAACTACTTGTCTCTATTCTAAAACTTGGCATTCTTTGATTTGAAAAATGATCATCTTTTGTCTTGATAGCATTTACATGTTTTAAGTTTTGTGGACCATTGATCTCAAAACCAGTCTTGTAACACAGGTTGTATTAATTCATTCTAGTTTAGTAGTCCTAAAATAGTATGGGTATTTTTTATTTTTATTTTTTTGAGAAAAGCACATTTTCTTTTTTGCTAAAAATATTTTTTTAATTTTTTGAGGGCATTTCTTACAGTACAAAAGGATATTCATGTGATTTGTAAAATTTTGAAGATAAAAATTAACTGGTACGATTTGATTCAAAAATGTAGTATAAGAAAATCATGCGGATCCATGTTAAAATCCAAAAGATTCTTCAAAGATTCATTAGCATTCAACTCAAAATTTATTGATGAATGCAAAATATTACATAGTTTGATATAGGAATAAAATACTTTCAAACGCCATAAATCTATTATGTATTATTATGCAGTTATAATAAATTTATAATTTATATTACATAAGAAAAAATTCAAAAAAATAAAGATTAATATAAAATTTTGTTATTCCACAATATGTTAATAACATGAAAATTTTAACCATAACTGTTGTATTGCAAAGCTTAAACCATAGATATATTTACTTGTGGTTTTTTATGTACTCTATTGTATAATATCAAATTATGAGAAGTGATTGTTATTATCTTTTATTTTTTTTCATACAAATGTTTGAAAGAATCGTTCAGATCTTTAGATACTTATCTTGTCAATTATACAAAATGTGATGGTTGGGCGGGAATTTTGTTTTTAGATTTTACAAGTATCAAGTGTAACAAGTTCTGTGAAAACCAGTAATTTTCGTTTTGATTTTTTGAGTTTTGGTAGTGTTTTATACTTTGGTTGTTTGAATACAAATTTTTTTTAGTATTCATGTAGAAAGGGATTTTTGAATAATAATTTTTAATTTACATGGGGTTTTTAATGATAACAAGTTGACAATGCAAAACTTACACAAATAGTCAAGAGCATATTACACACGCAATTCCAAAGTGATACTGAAAAAAGTGAATATATTATTGTTTCTTAGTTTTTTATTATTCCAATGCACTGAAGATGAACTTAAATATATTTTAAATAAAAGTAAACCAAAGCCTAATTTTAAAATTACTTACAAGGATACTGTATAATCCAAAGCCTTTATATTATTACTTCTCGCACAATGATACTGAATAAAAATATGTCTCTGTAGTGCACTTACTAAGCTCTTAAAACATGTGCATGAATTGTTCATAATTGTAACAAAAACAACAATTCATTTAATTTTCCATTTTAAAATGTCCATAAATATCTTTGGTATTATGTAGAAAGAAAAGTGTCTCAATTAATGAAAAAAAACGTCCTAAATCGATATGTACCAGGTACCATACAGCGAATATTATGTTACATGTCATGTCAAATCCAAAAGAGAAAGAGGCACAAAATCCAACATTCTTAATCGAAACAGTTGGATCCTGAATCAAGTTGTGAAGAAAACCATTGGAAGTTTTTATTTTTTCCGCAAAATAAAAACTATTTATATAGATATATTTGCGTTCTACAAAATTCCCATGTGTGCATTTTTTCGATATTTTTTAAAATTTCATACAAAACATACAAACTTCGTACTCCATGCCCAGTTCTACTTTCCAAAATTCCATGTTGACTTTGCCCACAAGGTTTTTTCTCTTTTGGGTGGAGCAGCTTCCAAGGATCCCCGCAGCTGGGGTATGAAATCCGAAAGGAGGAGGGGGGGTTGTATGTGGTGGGGCGCGCTATTGGACTCCCCCATTCACGAGGCAGAGAGGCAAAAAATTTGAATTTGGGCGAGACTGGGCAAGAGGAAAAACCAAAATTTGAATGAGCGACGATGGGTTACCCCGCCCAACGGACAGCCTGGCATCCCAACTCCACACCCTAAACGTTCCCTTGTGGGAAACGTTCACATGTCCACGTCAACCGCTACACGACAGGGGTACTACCCACTCAGAACCGTCCACGTGTACTTCAGTTCCTGACTGCCCGCAACTGGGCGGGTCCAGTGAGATGGCTGTTGGAGCGCGACCCGGTGTCGACCGGGGCCGGGGTCATGGCCGAGCAGTAGTAACGGGGAGCAGAATTTAACCTTCGTCTCTGTCCCAGTTGGGATCGCTTCGAGCGCTTGTTATAAATTGTCGTGGGCAACACGCCCCCCCCCCCTCTCCCGGAGGTGGGCTGAGATTTCTCAAGCGTTTAACGATCCGTCGTTGCTGTGACGGAGTGCTGTATCATCATCACCATCATCGCGTGGATAATCGCCGTGGATGCGGCGCTGTGGCGGGCTACAACGCAGAGTGACATTCCGACGCCGGGTTGAGGTTTTGTGTGCATGGTCTCAGAGGAAGAAACTGTCGATTCGTGTAGGTGAGGAGGTCTTGGATCGGATTTCAAGGGCGAGGAGGAGCGTGGGAGATTTGATAGCGACATTGGTTTTTTTTTTTTTTTTTTTTTTTTTTTTTTCATTCTTTTTATTTTTTTCAGGAGTGGAGAGGTTGAGGTCGGAGTATCGTGTGGTGGAGTTCTGTGCCGGGAAATGGTTTGGCTCTTAGGTTTGGTTTCGGGTATGAACAGCTGTGCAGTGACGGACTTTAGATTCTGCTGTGAGGTGTGACATCTCGTGGTGTCGATTTGCCGTGGGATGTTGTTCGTTTAGGGAGTATTGGTGATGCTGGAGCGAGTTCGCGGTGGGGAGTTGGTCGGATTTTTCAAGGAAGGTTGGCATGTGTACCATTCGGTGGAATTACTAGCAGATCTGCAATCGTCGCAACGGAAGGGCGTCTAGTGTCCCATGACGGTCTGTTGAAGTTGTGAGGAAGGTTGTTTCCTCCGAGAGTTAATGCAGAGGTTCTGCTCTGGTTTGACAGCTGGCGTGTTTCTATCTCCATTCTATCTCGGAAGAGGTTTGTTGAACTTGGTGTTTAGCGGTGCTGCTGTTACTCCGCTCGCCCGGTTGGTAGCAACCTATATTGCAATCTCTTCGACCTACTTGCTGATCATCTAACGGTAGTCTCAATGGTGAGTGATACTTATCCTGATTCCCTGCCTATGTGTTTTTGTCGACATCATACGTCCGCTTGTTGATCGCCGGGATGCAATTTTGAGTCCATGCATCATCTATGAACAATTCGGAATTGAAGCAAATATGCCACTGAGTACTGTCTAACTTTCCTCATGGTAAGGTTGGATTACGTTGCTTGGGTTCTGGAATGTGCTTGGCCAATTGATCATTCCAGGAAAGCGTTTCTTTCTGCCCGCACTGTGCACGTGAATCACTTCAGATAACGACAGCATGATCGGATTATTTCGTGGGCCTCTGTGCCCTTGGTTTCATCGAAATGGCGAATTTCTATTCATCAGTAATGTGCCGAGTAATTGTATTTTTTTTCGTATGCGGTTCATATCGTAGATTACCCTCTCTTTGAGGGTTTTGAAATCTGCACTCCCGAAAAGACATGAACGATGATAGAGTACAGTTTGCTTAACTACAGGGTTTGGGAATACACATCTTGGGCTTGGAGATGTTGAAATTTCGAAGTCATGACCTGTTTTCTCCCTGCAGGCAACAAACGAGAATGTTAACCTGTCTGCGAAGGTGATCAGAGACCTTGCCAGGGAATTAAAGAATTTGGATGACAGTCCTCCAGAAGATATTAAAGTCTACGTGAACGAGGAGAACTTCTCGAATGTGACTGCCGACATCGAGGGTCCACGTATGTTTTCTGCAACTATATGATACGCCTTCAAAGTCTCGTATACCTCTATGTCTCTTATCTGCATTGACTGTGTCTGAACTCTTCCAGGAACGTTCTCAGATAGGGTTAATGTGTAGATCATCAGGAACCCGGGGCAAGGCAGGGTTTTCAAACAATTGATTCGTGTTACGCTTTGGATTGTGACAGATGGAACGCCGTACGAAGGTGGCGTGTTTAGAATGAAGCTTATTCTTAGCAACGACTTTCCTCAAACCCCACCCAAAGGTAACAGCTCTAGCTCTAGGAGTCGTCGCCTGCCACCTTTTCGTAACAATTTTTCAGCTTTTGCATTCTGATTTCCATGTTTTCTGTCTTCAATGCTTAGCATACCCTTGTGGGGTTTATGATACAGGGTACTTCGTGACCCGCATATTCCATCCCAACATTGCCAAAAATGGAGAAATATGTGTGAACACCCTTAAGAAGGATTGGAAGCCGACTCTTGGCCTACGACATGTCCTACTTGTAAGCTTTATGATATATCACGTCGTGGAACTCGTGTTTTCTTCGTCAATTCATTAGAGTGTCAGTTGTTGGGCTGCCCAGTAACGAGCCTAAGAGGAAATTATGGCTACTTTTTGAGCTGCGGCGACTTAACAGTCTTGACCAATTTCTATTCTATACTTACGTGCAGGTTGTTAGGTGCCTTCTTATTGAGCCATTTCCTGAATCTGCCCTCAATGAAGAGGCTGGCAAGATGTTGATGGAGGATTATGAAGGCTACGCCAAACACGCCAGGTCTGTCTTAGTGCGCATATAGTGATTTCCACGCTTCATGTTTAGTAATTGAAAGCAATCGCGTGAAAGAATGTCATGGTGTCCATTCAGTTTCTTCTGTCTTACAATTGAACCTCTCATTTCAGTCGACCTGTTTGGATAGACGATTATATGTTCATATTTAATTCGAGGAGTTATTAACATATCAACTTTCTTCCTGTGTAACCAGACTCATGACCAGTATCCACGCAATGAAGCCGAAGCCCAAGAGCAAAGTGCCCATTGCCGAATCCACAAGCGTCAACGCTGTTTCCACAGACGACGCGCACACCCCTCTCATGCATAATTCTGCTAATAAAGACAACACATTGGATAATAGCCTATGTGTTGGAATTAGTGATACCGTTGCCACTACCTCTCCTACCGCAAAGAAACCGAAGGGTGAGCTGACGTCCGCAAAGTCTCTTGTGGACAAAAGAAAAATGGATGTAAGGAAGAAAAGTTTAAAGAGGTTGTAGTGAGGACCAGCGATAAGACCGTACGAGGTGGTTACCTGTTAATATACCCCTGGATCTCTTTTCTTCCTTCGATATGTTACTACTTTTTAACCAGGATAGTGTTAAATCAGGTCGATTGCTCCAGCAGTTCTGTAGTCCCCCTCCTGGTATCCTTTACCGTAGTTACAGGTCAGGACATAAGGTTCTTAATTTTTTTATACAACAATCTTTGAAGTTAGAAGGGGTGATCTTGTTCTGCATAGGAGGTAAGTCATCCATTCAGATCAAGATTTTGAATGGTTTTGCTCACTGAAAGCGTATTAGTCTCGATGTAAGGATGTACAACTATGTTAACGGCGCATGCACGCCATGATCTCAGTCTTCATTAAGAGCGTGAACTGTAGCAGAGGAATGAAATTACTTTTTTCCGATGGGAACAGAGCGATATATCCACCAGCTTTGGTGAACGCTGTGGCACCATGTACTACTACCTTTCTTATTATGGTATGCAAAGAGCTCAGTTACGTATTAAAATTTTCTCCATGATTGTCGAATGCCAAGTTGTGGTAGTACCCAGAAGTTCTGATAGCGACCGGTCAGTCTGCATTGGTATGCGTCTGGGATCTGTGTCGTTATCCCTCGACACTCAAGCGAGCAGTGTCTAGACTGGCGCTTTTCTTCCATCTTCGTAGCCACCTCTGTCGATGCCGACTGCTACTTCACACCTATTATGGGATCTCTCTGGTAGATGACTGTTGGGTCATCTCGAATTTAACATATGATTGCCCTGTTTCATGCCCTAGGAGAATGCACCAGCGCATCAATTATTGTACAAGCCCTTCCCTCTGACCACGCCCGCCTCTTTCCCAGTTTCAGCTGTAGGACTTGTGGATAGGCTGTCCAGGTGGACAGTGATCAGACAACTTCTGTAAAGTAGATAACTGTGAAAAATTCTGCAATCTACTGTCTTCAGGTGTGATGCATCCCAGGACATGTCTTGCAAATAGTGAAAGCAAAAATTTGTTTCGAGGAGTAAGTCTTATTGACAGTCTATTTTTATTTTCCAACTTGTGAAATGTTCTTGTAATACCAGTACATTACATGATAAAAATTGTGCTGAGATTATGGCTGCTCAGATTAAAGTCATTGATCTTTGTCCCATAATCTCTTGCTTTAATGACTGTTTTAGATCTGGTGTTTTTATTTCTGAAGACATATATACATTGTCTGTGTGATGAATTTTTAAGTAGTAATAATTTTACTATATCTACAGTACCCAACAATGTTTTAACTACAGTTACATGCATGATTTCAAATAAAACTCATATTATATATTATGAAACAGTTGTGTTTTTTTTTTTTTTTTTTTTTTTTTTTTTGTTTTAAAATGTATGAGACGAGGACAAATTGTTCAAAAAAAATAAAAACAATGACATCAAAACATCCATTTTGATGCCATTGTGTTTTATCAGTTCAAACTTTTACAATTATTTAGTAACTATTTCGTAAGTATTTTTCGGTGAATATGATTAGAGAGAATTTTCATTGTTATTACTATTATAGTTTTCTTGTTGTCTTGGTCACACAAATCGGAGATTCTTGCAAGTATGACGTCAAATTATTTATTAGGTATATGTTTTAAAAAAGTTACTTGATTGTAGATAATAAAAATTAATTGTTCCAAATTTAAACTACTTTTTAACATCAATATTAACTGGAAATCTTCAAATAAGGTTTGTTCAGTTTTAAAAACATAATATAATTTTCATTTTTTTTGATAGATCAGTATAATACAAATCTACATTTATTTATTTTCGTTTTAATTGTCGAAGGTTTATACTTGTTGAATCTGTATGTGAGTATAAACATTCATGTATGCATGTATATATACATTTCCTACTATTCAAATATTTACATTAATATTAAAAACAAACTACTACCCTCATTGCAAGTCTATATCTCCAGTGTATATTTACAAAATTCTTGATATTGTCTGCAAATCACACACTCAAATCACATTTTTTCTGTATTCACAAACAACCAACTATGAAACCAAGCAATGAACTAAACAAATATCCAAACCCTCAACAATACAAAGAATCCTAATTTGACATGCACTTGAAGACAACATTCCCCACAAAAACGAATATCCAAATCTCAAAGGGTGACGGTAATAAAGGGAACATTTCTATCCCATAGTGAACGATTTGCTCTTTCTCTACCAATTTTCGTACACAATATGGTTTTTTTAACCATTTAAAACGTTAGCTTTTGGTTGAAGCTTCCCCCGACCAAAGGAAAAGGGGAAAAAAAAAAAAAAAAAAAAAAAAAGGTAGAAGAAGAAAAAAGTGGGGAAAATAAGCTAGAGCCTACTTTATTGGACACAACATTCAACGCCCTCAGTGCCACCCTCTGTAGGGCACAGAGAGCAACCCCCCCCACCCCCGATTTCCCACGAAGGAAGCGAACGACATCTTTCCATTCTTCTATTCGTTCGTTCATTCGTTTCTTCGTTCATGCTTTCGTTCAGTAATAACTTCGTTCGTCGCCTCCCTCGCAATCAGCCAAGAGTTCGTGGCGGAGCCCACGCGCTTCCGCAGAGGAAAAACGACGACCAGGACAATGATTCGCTGGAAAGAGGCAATTGGACCTGGCGCTGCTCCCGAAGCTGCGCAGAGTTGTTGCATCAACAACAACGAACTGTGTTCATGCCGACTGCCACCAGGAGGGAAGGAAGGAAGAAGGGGAGTGAGGAGAGGGGATCAGGCAGGAAGGTAGGCAAGGCAAGGCATTCATCATCGGGGTTGGGGTGGAGGTGGAGGTGGGCAGGGAGTAGTGGGGTGGGGTGAAGTGAGGTGAAAACAACTGCACTCACTACTACTGCTGCACTGCAGAGCACTAATACAACTAGGAGGATCGGGTCGAGGATTGTTGTGTTTCGTCATTCTTCGAGGCTGTGGTGGGGCAGCAGGCAAGCTGTACTCGGGTGAGTTTTGTTGGCGTGGTGGTCGAAGGTGTTCGTTTTTACCCTGTGGGGCCTTGGAGAGATTCCTTGTGTTATGGGACTGGGTTCAGAGGTGGTGGTGGTGGTGGATGTGGTGACTTACCGACATGTGAGAATCGAAGGGTGTGTTTTTAAGGTTGGAGTTGTTTTGAGGTTGTGGTTTGGTGGAGAGCGAGAGAGGGAGTTGGTAGGGGTTGATTTTGGTGGTGAGAGATAAGCGTTGTTGTTTTTTTTTTTTTTCGGTGGGAGGAGGGTAATGGATTGAATTGTGTTGGTGGGCGTTGCAGGTAGGAGTTTGAGATCTTTGATTCGCAGCGGTTACAGATCAATCGTCATGGGGAACAGTGGGTCGTCGTCGTCGTCATCGAGTTTTAATAACGATCCTCGACGGGTGTCTCGGTCTAGGGGTTACGAGGGTTCCTCATCGCAAGCGTACGGTGGTTATTCGCATCCGTCTTCCTCTCGTTATGGGGATGCGTATGAGGAGCCGCCCAGTGAGCCACCGTACGTCCCACGTCCAGTACCGAAGAAGCCCTTGAAGCGTGAATTCTCGTTTATTAGGGACAATTATTCGTCTGTGGAAGAGGTGCAGAATGCCCTTGGTCAAGCTGGGATGGAATCTTCCAATCTCATTGTGGGCATTGATTTTACGAAGAGTAATGAATGGACAGGGAAGAATTCTTATGGTGGTCGGAGCTTGCACGCTATCGGAGGCGAGCCGAACCCTTACGAGAAAGCCCTCAGCATTATTGGTCGAACGTTGCCAAAATTCGATGATGATAACCTCATTCCATGCTTTGGATTTGGTGATTCCACGACTCATGACAAGTATGTCTTCAGCTTTAATGCCGACCACCGCCCTTGTGAAGGATTCGAGGAAGTTTTCTCCCGGTACCGAACTATTGTGCCGCACCTCCGTCTCGCTGGACCCACTTCGTTTGCGCCCATCATCAACGCCGCGATTGATATCGTTGAGGAAAGCGGCGGACAGTACCATCTTCTCATCATCATCGCAGGTTAGTTCGTGAATTTACCCTCTGTACCCTCATGCTCTTAAACCTTTAGGGCTTCCAGGCCATCTTTTGTAATGTGTCTCAAAGTTGTGGTGCACGTCTTGGCACTCTTGACACAACTGCTGTCGTGCAAGATACATCATTTAAGGATCTACCCTTATTTGATAGTTCTTTGGATCCTTACATCTTTCGGATCGTGATTTATTATTATTATTATTATTATTATTTCTGGTGTAGCGACTCGTGCACAGAGAACAGAATGTTATTGTTCGAGGGGGTCCTTTTAATGTTCGAGTTGCTGAAGCTTACCCTTGGACGCACTTTTTCGTTTTTAAGCGCTCCTTATTAATCTTCGTTTTGTGGGTGCTAGTAAAACTTTCCTTAACCATGAATTTGCTCTCAAGAGTACAGACGACAACTTGCCAGAACGCAGCTTCGACAAATTCGTCGTTCTTGCAAGTTGTCGTCGAGTATATTTGACGAAGCTGCGTTCTGGCAACTCATGGTTAAGGAAAGTTGTCGTCGTTCTGGCAAGTTGTCGTCGACCTTACTGCGAAGCAATATAGGATAGGATCCTGTTGACTCTTGTCGTAATGTCACAGATGGGCAGGTAACAAGGAGCGTGGACGTAGCATACGGTCAGCAGAGTCCTCAAGAGGCAGCAACTATTCGAGCCATCGTCAATGCCAGCTCCTACCCTTTGTCCATCGTGCTTGTAGGCGTGGGGGATGGACCTTGGGACATGATGCGTGAGTTCGACGACAACTTGCCAGAACGCAGCTTCGACAACTTTCAGTTCGTCAACTTCACCGAGATCATGAACTCCAGAAACCTCAACGCCCACCAAAAAGAGGCTAAGTTTGCACTCAACGCACTGATGGAAATTCCTCTCCAATACAGAGCAACATTGGAACTTTCCATGCTTGGCAATCAAGTTGGCACATCCCCTGGAATCAAGCCGTTGCCTCCCCCTCCCAAGGTGCTGCAGAACGATGGCATCTATCCTGGTGGCAATTCTCGACAACCACAACAACCAACTCACAAAAATGGCTACCCAAACTACAATCATGGACATTATTCTGGTGGAGCTGCAGGAGGTCCACCACCGTCTTCTACCAGAGACTATCACCCGCATTCACCACACCACAGCTTCGACTCTTACCCCAGCTTCAACAATCACAACTATTCTACTCAACCTTCTGCTCCCGCCTCGTCAGTGGACGGTTCCAACATGGACTGCCCGGTTTGCCTCACAGACAGGAAGGACATGGCCTTCAATTGTGGGCATCAGACATGCCGGCAGTGTGGTGTGGGTCTACTCAATTGTCCTATGTGCAGGCAACTGATCACCACCAGGATACATCTCTACTGAATGGACTATGAGATAGCATGATCTCCCTTGTAAATGAACCAGGTGCACTTGTCGATCAAGCCGGATTGATCGACTTAGTCAAGGTGCTGTGTGATTTCGCCACCATCAGGTTGAGATTAGTAATCCAATCGAATCTTTTTATTAAGTTGCTGTGAGGGATGTGGAGTCCTTCCGGGCAGCAGCAGGGGCAGATGCTGGAGATAGCCAGTTGGTATTGTACAGTGTGTATTCCTGAATTCATACCAGACTCTGAATACGGTGATCTCTGAGATTGTGATACAGTTCCAAATACTGCAAATGTTCTGTTCCTCATTAGTGTCCAAGAATGAGTGTTGTTTGTTATGGACTTGTTTCGTATATGAAACAGACGTCATCATTTCTTTTAGCATTTTAGGAACTATTTGTTTATTTATGAAGAACAATATGTTTCTAGTTCTAAGAGCCGAAGAGGTTTTAGTGGTGTTCTTCATTAGGAGGGTTGGGGCCTATAAATGGGATTCAAATCATTGATCTCATTTGGTGGAGCTATTTGCCATTTTTTTGATAGTTTAAGTTTATTGTTGCCTAATATTGTAAGACTTTTATTTGTATTTAAGATTAGTTTTTAGTTGGATACTAAGTGTAATAGTGATTTTAGAATATAAATGAGGTGGAAATTGTAGATGCAAATCTCATCATAGAATCCACATGGAATGCTTTGGATCATGAACAATGAAAGTTTAACCTAAGAGTGAGAGTGTTTTATGGAAAAATATCATATATATATTTCTTAAATTTGTTGAGAAATCAAGAGTATCCATGTATTCTTGGTAATAGCAAATGTATCCTCCACTTTTGTGATAATATCAAATCTATCCTTGAATGTGATAAGGTATCATGATTGTTCTTTTTTTAGGTGCAATTAGGGCCCAAAGTGAAAATCACATAGAATTTAGTAGTCATTTTTGCACTTTTTGGCAAATTACGCCTCTTTATTTTGTATAGATTTTGGTGTGGCCATTTTTGACAGATTTTGGCACGTTTTGGCTCTTGCTCTTCTTCTATCAATTTCTATATGCCACTGATATTTTTTCGTACTAGTTTTTGGCAAATTTTGCTATGACAATGCTTTTCCTACCATGGTACTTACATTTTGTGCAAGTAATAGAGTACCAAGATAGATTCAAGCTCTCGCTTGAGTTCTTGTTCCTTCTTTTATATATTAAGCTGCTTCTTGTCGTCCATAGACATTGATGTCTCTCCCTTTTTTTGACGTCTTTGCTTTACTTTCTCTTGTGATATGTTCTTTTCATCACCTTCATTCGTGGCTACCACAACTTATATGATTGTTAAATTATTTTATTTTATTTAATTTATTTTTAATTTTATTATTATTATTATTATTATTTTATATGTATTATTTTTCTTTTTTATTGTGTGTTCCACCCAAAAACAAAGGAATTATATGTTGAGCTTAATAGATTATTCATTATCCACTTGAAGCCTTGCTAATCGAAACAAAATTTCTATCTTTCATATCTTAATTGAAGGCTATGATGTATTTTAGAAGAATGCATTCTATTCATACTTAATATGGATTTGTATTTGTGAAAGATATAACTCCATGTCTTTATTCTACAATTTTGCAATTAACTTCTATCCCATGCTAGATATTGAAGATAAGAATCAATTTCTCTTATCAAGCATAATTAAAGTGTTTGTAGTCAATTATATAGGAAAATTTTCACATTTGAGATAGGATTGTGAGTGCTACACAATGACTTTTCTTCACTTGTTGTCAGATTGCATCTATTCTTGTCATGATTATTGATGATAAGATGAAGATTCTAACTTCTAATTTTCAAGGGCCATTGAGGATGCATGTGACACTATAAGACATGCAGTGCTTTACCAAGTGCTAGACTCTATCTCGAAGTAATACTATGCTAGATGGTATTATACTTGGGCTTATGTTCAAAGCTGTTGTACAATCTCTAAGCCCTCTTACTAATTGAAGCTTCATACTTGGTCCCATGATCAAATATAAATTGCATGCTTAAGTACCATCTATTTTTGAGGCTATTTGATTTAACAAGTGAATTGTTATATATAATTTAGTAGATTTTGACTTCCATGATTATTGTCATATTATCTTAATCAACATTCTTTGTAGGATTTGAATTAGCATGTAATTTGGCTTTATAATCTAGTTTTGGTTCATTCCACATTGCTAGTTCTATTTATTAAAAATGGCCCATTTCTATTAGTTGATGAAGAAGCCAATCCTAGCAAAATCAAGTAAGATCAAAATCAAGTAGGAGCAACAACATTGATTTTATGCCAAGGTTCAACCAAGTAATCTTTGCAACTTATTTATTTAAAATTTGAAAATAGTTCAAGAGTATTATACTTTAAATGCCTCTAATGACTTGCTTCATGCTAAACTCTTATATAAGCTCCAACTACTAACTTGATCACCAAAAAACTCACTAAAATTGACCATAATAAATAATTATTTTTTGATGACTTTGTAGGTCAAATATCATAAAGCCTTCTTCAATATGTTTTAAAATAAAATTGATTTGGTCTTGCATATTATGCATGATTTTTAAAATTTAGTTTTTTGACAAGTTTTTTTTGTGTAGAAACTTTTTGAAGATAAATTATACTTCAAAATAGATAGTTTTTTTAATATGGATATTATTTTTAGTAGTACTAGGGCCGATTGGTTAGCGGACAATATGAAGAATAAATTGGATGATATACCATAATACAGAATTATAGATATTCAAAAAAATACTTAATGTGATGGGAGTATTATGATATCCTATTTGATTACATAATATAGAAGAAAAAGTAATTTTTGAGATAATTGGCTCCTATATAAATAATTATTGCAATTTGAAAGTATTGTTGTGATGTAACATGGCTAATAAGTGAAAGAGTGAAGACAATATTATATTATAGAAGATCTTATTTCAAAATATTATAAAAAATTATCTTTAAAATATAGATAATAGTCAAAAGGTAATAAAATTAAAAGTTTAAATTTTGTCTTTTTACAAAGTGGGCTTCTACTTACTTTGTAGAGCTATAAATAAGGCAAAAAAAGATAGATTATAAAAATAAAAGAAATAAACATATGTATAAGAAATTTAGGAGTTGATTTTAGGAAAAAAAACATCAAGAAAATAAAAATTGATACTAAAAAAGGATCGGTTGCCAACTACAATCAAAATTAGTTCCTAAAGCATAAGACTTCATACCTACAATAACTTTAGGATTCTTTGTAAATTAGAGAGTAGAATTTGTAAGAAGATTTTATAAGATTTTTTTAAGCATGGATTTTGAGGAATTTGAGTTTGTAATGACTTATCAAGGATATGAATTGGAAGAAAATACATAAACCTGGAAAATTTGTATTAAAAAAAAAGTGAAAAAATAAAAATAAAGTAATATGTATATTAAAAAGAAACTAGAATGGATATTGCCAAAAGACAAAGAAATTAGAGACTCTTGAATCTAAACTAGAAGCAAGAAAGGAGTTAAGAAGAGTGAAGAAGGCTTTGCTCTTGCCTCTATATATACTATCTATATAGGATCTATGTAGCAATGTTCTATATGACCTCCAAAAATATGTTGACTTTGTATGACACATATCTTAACTTGCAAGGCAAGTTTTTTATATGGCCACAACATAGTTAGTTTATTCTGTAAGCTACCAATACATATGGTACATGGATAGCTTATTGACCAAGTTTCTAACCTATCAATCAACTGCAAACATATGCAAAGTCAAAACATCATCTAAAAAGCTTTTAGGAAGCTTCTTTGGAAGGTATTATAAAATTAATCTACTTTTATCTAATTCTACCTACCTACATAACAATTATAGTAGGTATATATTCATGACATTATCCCCCCTTTTAGAGACAAGTTCGACAAGAAGCGATGATCATATGTTGAAAAAGTCTAAGATGTGGTGAATTGTATTTGCCACATACTTTGATCTTTATTCCCTTTGAAGGTAGTTGATAGGTCCTTTCAATCATTGATAATGTCCCATTTCAGGAAGAGAAGACTATCCTATGATTTGATCATTGTTCAAACCTTCATAACTTCTTTCAAATAAAACATTTGCAACACCATTAAGAGTTGTATCTACCTCCCATAAAATTATCAAATATTCACAGTCTTTTGCAAGTCATGATATTAAATGCATTATATCTTGCCATCTATTTAAAAAATGACATGTTATTCCTGAAGATCTTCATTCCTATTACGTTATCTTAAAGGCTGTGATAATCACAATGTCTTATCCGATAAGTTGGCAAATGTTGGCTCTCGAGTTGAGTCCGTCAGTTGTTGGTTCTCTATCTCCTTGATGCCACAATTATACAAAAACTACAAACAAAGATAGAAGTTAGAATGTAATCTTTCTTGAATTGTATTTCATTTATAGTAAAGATTTGCTATCCTTCATCTTGATTTTAATAGATGATGTTGATGAAAAGCTTCCATTATCTTTGCTGTATTTACAAGTTTTTTTTTGGCTCCCAATTGTATTCACTAATATTATATCTATACCAATGGACAAGATATTTTAATTTATTTCAGCATTGCCTTGAATCTAGAACTTCTTCTACTTCAAATTCTTCATTATTGTCGACTTCTATAGGAGGAGGTCGAACTTATCTTCTTCTTGGTATGTTCAGAGTCTTGTATGGTTTAAGAAGAAATTCATAGAAGATAGAATGGATCTTCATTAACTTTGGTAGATGTAATTGATAAGCAATTGAATTGATTTGTCTACAAATAAGAAAAGATCAAAGTTTGTGGTAGTCCAACTAATGTCGAAGACAAGTAATCTTGATATTATGATGAAGTAATCATATCTTATCACCTACATTAAATTATGGTTTTTCTTTTTGATAGGCATCTATGTTGATCTTTTGTTATTCTTGAGCTTCTTTTAATTGTGCCTTCATTATTACTTATAGCTTAAACAAATGATTTGCCAAATCTTCCACTACAAGATGATCAACTTTTAAAAAGTCAAAAGTATCAAGTCATAGATAATAACCATAATTGACAAAAAAAGATGTTTATTGCATAGAAGAATGCATCATATTATTATAAGCAAACTTTGCCAATGGCAAGAGGGCTCTCTAATTGTTTTGTTGATAATTGATTGTACACCTTAAGTATTGCTCCAAAACTTTGTTTATGCACTTTGTTTGTCCATCAATTTGAAGATGAAAGGCCAAAGAAAGCTTTATGTCCACCTTTAGAATCTTAAAAAGAATTTTCTAAAATCTTGATACAAATTGAATCTCTCTATTTCATATAATATCTTTTGATAATGCATGATACCAATAGATATTGTCAAAGAAAAGCTTGGTAGTTTCTTCATCTATGATAGATTTTGTACATGGTACAAAATATGTCATTTTGATAAAACAATCTACTATTACAAATATAAAATCACACAAATATGAAACTAGAAGATCTGTAATAAAATCCATAGAAATAAAAGAACAAGGTTGTGCTAAAATAGGTAATGGTTGAAAAAGTCTATAAGATCAATGATGAGGAGTTTTTGACCTTAAACAAATGTAACATGATTGAACAAAGTCTTTT